CTTGTAGTTTTTGTTTTTGATTTCAATTGTTGTAAACACTCCATGGGGATTATACTGGGCATAGTTAGGACCCTTGGGAACAGTCTAAAACTAAATAATACGGATGGGAAGCGGCCGGCGTTGAAGAAGAAGGTCGCAGAAGTCACAGACGGACTGACGGCTCTCAGAGAGGGAGAGAGCCGGCTCCATGGAGGAGGGAGCCGGCTCCCCCCTAGTGTAGAGCCGGCTCTAGGAGGTGTAGAGCCGGCTCTACCCAAGTAGAGTAGGCTCCAATAAAAATTGGAGCCGGCTCCACCTTTGTTCATAACCTGTTCTCGCTCAGTTTGCTTCCGGAAGGTGTTTGATGCACTGTTTGAAGCTGTTGTGTGTTTGAATTGTTAAAAAAAAAATATTGGGACTTGCCATAGTGATTAAGAAGTTAACTTTGGGTATTAATAGAACTTTTAATTGATTAAAGTTTACCTCTAAATTAACGGAACAAACTGTATAAAATTTATGCACATTGTACACGATTAAGGAATGGAAGAAGACTTAATTGCTCAAGCTTATTTTTGAGCATTCCAGTGGGATCTATATGTTTATAAATTGTTCTAAATACATTATAGGGTCATTGATGTATTGAAGTTGACCTATGCATGCTTTGAAGGCTAATGTTGAAATAGTAAATACTTTCAGCAATGATATGGATTATCGTTTGGATTTTTAATTGCTAGAACATCAAATATCTTCCTGCAATTATTTGGATAATGTTTTGGAATGTAAATTACTAAATTATGATTTCTATATTGTAATTGGCATTGATATGGAGGATTATATGCACCGGTATGGGACGGTGGCATTCTAGGGATGGTTTAGCTTCAAAACGCTAAGACCTAACCTAATGGATTAATGGAATGGATTGTAAGATATTGAATCCTAATTGTGACTAAGTCAGATCAGCTGTAACCAAGTTGGATGACTTCCTGGATTAACGGATGGTAGTTAAGTCATATCAACTGAATAAGTTGAGTGACTAACTAGTTGGTTTATTGTAGGTCAGTTTAATAAATAGTTGAACTGCTTACCCTGGATTTGGACGGACTTTATGTATATGTTTATGGTACCGCGAGTTGAGCTTGAGTCTCAGACTCGTTGGTTAGGGTGCGTATATGCAGTGGATGCGTAGCTGGTTATAATAGGTTGAGGTGTACCCTGTTAGGTCTAGGTACTCATGCCCACCTTTGGGTGCGTATTCGCATGTTGCCTTCTATTCAGGTTGAGACCCCTATTATAGACTAGTGAATGTCCCTTAGTGTGGATATATTTATACGTATGGACTAGATAGATATTGTGAGGTGTCTACGGTGTATCTGCGTATCGGGTCACTGTATGGATTGCAGTTAGATTAGAACTTGCTCGTGGGTCTGACCCACTCCTTTATTATTCTTTTCAGGTACAGGACGGTTCCAGCCTTAGAGCTTGATCGTGCTTGTCTAGGACAGTCTCACTTTCACCGGATTACGTAGGACTTTCCCCGATGTTTCTAGTATTATCTATTTTCAGTTTCAGTTTCAGTTGAATTTTTAGTTAGGGGTCCATCAGTGGATTCCCAAGTTGTAACTTTGAAGTTTTGGAGGATTGGAGTTTTAAATTTTCAGTTACACATGGAGAATTTTACTATTATTATTTCTTTCAGTTTTATTCTATCTTTATTGGTTTTGTCATCTGTGTTCGTTTTAAAATACTTTAATTGTTTGATATTCCCTCGGGTTTGGGTTTGGGCCTGATCAACCCGTGTCTCGGATCCGAGGGGTATCACGAATCCTAATCTTTCACCGCCGAATGCGAATTCATTTGCCCCAAACAAATATATCTTCCACCTCGAGAGAAATTAGGAATTTCATATAGTGAACGTCTTCTTTACATTCTGGATCCATGGTTGTTCTTTGCCTCTGGCAGATGTGGTTGGGGAAAGGCAGCGACGATGGATGTGGTTGGGGAAAGGTGGCGACGACGAATCAAGATTGTGGGATGATGTGGGTGGGGGCGGTGGCAGAGGTGGAGGAAGGAGGCGGTGAGATTGTGGAAGTGAAGAGAGGTGGTGGAAGTTGCAGTGGAAAGAGGGTGGAAGTTACAGTGGTGCGACGGTGCCGGACTGTAGATGGAAGGTGACGGTGCCAGACCGTAGGTGGGTGGCGATGGTGCCTGCCGCTGTTCTTCCCCGCCAATGATTTTCTGTTAGACTAGGTTATATATATTTATTTATTTATTTATATATGATGGTGCAGATGTAATAGCGTATATATATAAGAGTAAATTTGACTTTTTATGAGTTCTGATATTTTATTATTGAAAAGAATTAATTATTGAAGGGCAATCTCGTCTTTTCTATCGTTTTAAGGGCTTGTTTGGATCAAAATTCTCACAGGGGGTGTCTTTGTCTAAAAAAGGATTAAGTTGTATATGGCTGTTAATATGTTAAACCTTAGGGGGTGTCGTTGTAATTAACCCTATTATTTTACATGTATTATTTGCATTTTTCATAAATATTAGGTATATATATATATAATCTAAAATTATGTAGGTAAGGGTATTTTCGGCATTTCATGAAAAATAGGTGCTCATGTTATCATTTTTCGTCGTTGACTGACGTTGATCGTAACGGAAAGAAGGTCCGTGTAGAATATTTCAAAAAGATAGGAAAGATCCGCGTAATTTTCGGAACAAGAAGGGTATCCAACTATAGAGGAGGTTTGTGTAAATTATCCTATATATATATATATATATATATATATATATATAAATTTACTCCAGGCTTTGAAAGTTTTTCATGCATCGGCATTACCCGGAGTTGCACTTTAGCATTTAATGAAATGAGAAGAAGTTCAGCAACTTTTTATAGGTACTATAAACTTTAACCTTTTTTTTTTTTTTTTACTTTCTTTACTCCTCTTCCATATATATATATATATATATATATATATATATATATATATAGCATTTAATGAAATGAGAAGAAGTTCAGCAACTTTTTATAGAAGAAGTTCAGCAACTTTTTTACTTTCTTTACTCCTCTTCCATATATATATATATATATATATTTTCCTTGTGGCAAACTAAGGGAAGGACAATTTAAATACGAGCAGTTAGGCACTTTATCAAGTATATGGAATATTGGGGAATGCCTTACATTCTTTACTTCCTTTTTTTTTTTTTTTTTTTTTTTTTTTTTTTTTATCCAGTCAAAGAGATCATTTATTTACCAGAAAGAACGTTCATAAAAAAATAAAATGAACTCATATGGTCTGTGTTTTGTTTTGTTGGGTTTGTCTCATTGAAGACCCAATTTGAAAATGCAATGTTGGTTGGCCATGAGAAAAAAGTATTTTTCTATTTCATGTATTTCTAAAAGAAGAGTTAAGTGAGAAAAAAAAAAAAAAAAATTATAAGATTAATATAATCATGTCATCGACAAAGAAAAAGGAGGAAAAAATATAACAGAGTATGGAAGAAGAAAAGTTATTTCAAGAATTGACTTAGTAGGATAACCATTAATGTTTTTTCAGTGTATTAGTTAATTCAAGTTCTCTGTTTAGCTGTTATATATTGAATTTGATTATTATTTGCAGTTTATTTGATTTTAATTATATTAATTGATATATTTTTAAGAATACATCTAATTAGAGTGCATTGTATTTAGTTTATATTTTTATTTTTATTTTAAAAAAATAAAAAAATGGAAATAAAGAAGTTAAAGTTTATAGTATGAAGGATAATTATGATAATAGTGTAAAATAAGGGGTGATGGATTAATAAATTTAGGGACCTTATTTATTTTATTTTTTAAAAATAAAAAAAGTGCAATTGTAATAAAGGAAGGAGTGCAAGCCTCCTTAAAAATATTAACTTATAATGTTTTCCTGTGAAAAGTGGAGGGGAATAACATGTGTCAAAATACATGCATATCCCGCACATCTGTTTGAACTTTCCACTCGTATACCACACACAAACGCAATGACGAGTGGGACAATTTTTGATACCGTATCAATATGCGAATTATAATAATATGGCGTGTGTTACAAGGACAAGACCGGTGAATAATATTTTAACTTATTAGTTAATTGACATGCTGAATTGATTGGTGAAAATTTAAAATGACGTTAAAATGAGATGGTGAGATCACCCAGACTTTGTGGTCGCTTTGTTTGTTATTGTTCCATGCTTTGTGTGTTGTGTTGTTTTGTTTGGTTATGATTTGTAAATGCTGTTTGATTGGTTTTTATTTTCAACAAAAAAACAAAAAAAAAAAAAAAAATTTCACCCAGACTAGAAATGAAATAGATTTACATGAATTCCGATTTCAATTCATATTTTAATTATAGGTTCTATATTCATAACCCCATCTCATCTAATCCTATAAATATGATCTATATCAAACCCATGCACTTTAAGTTGAATATAAATAAAGTAAAATGAACTTAATCTAGATCGAATCTCAACTAAAATAACTCGATTCATTTAAAAATTATCCAGATTAATATCTAATCCAAGTTAGTGATGAATCTTTCAATGATTTAGTCCTTTTTTTGAATTTAAATTTAAAATTAAAACCTAATATCATTTTAATATATTTCAGATCGAATTGAACTTTGGATCAAACTTGCACCCCGCCGTCCAATAGATCTCGCTCATGGGGTGATCTCACCGGTCCAGTGCACCGGAGAGGAACTCATTCTTCATGTTTTTCCATCATTGTAGGTGATTCTCACTTTCTTGAGCACCTCTCAAAGTGAAGTCCACTGAGTCCCACCCATAAATGGGGCTTTCCCACCAAATTGATTAGAGGGTGCACCAGAGGGATGTCTGATATTATTGTATTTGACGAAATGTAAACATCCATGTCCCAATCACACACGAGTCAATGCCCAAATGTTTTGAAATTTGAAATTCCTAATGCTTATCACTTGATGCAGATGGACCAAATTCCTGATACAACTGGGATGCATTTTCTAGGTAACCAATCAATCCTTAGTCCTAATCCAAAAACAGGAAAACAAGAGTGAGAACATAGCGCCTGGAGAGAGAGAGTTGGACAACAAGACAAACAAATGAGCCTTGTTTTTCACTCTTCCATACTTTTCTTCTCCACCCAAAAGCAACCCAACAAAGACTTTTTTGTGTGTCTCTTGATCTCTTGATAGAGGTGGAGTGGGAATTAGAGACCCATCAATGGAAATCACCTCTGGACTTCAAGAGAGAGAAAACCCATCTCCTATAAACACCCCAAACACCAATGGAGGCGGAAGCAACAGCAACGGCAAGGGAGTCCAAATTCAAACCCCACCATTGACCCCAAAACCCATGTGTAGATCGGAAATCAGGCCATGCCAAACAACCTTTGTCCAAACAGACACCATTGCATTCAAACAGGTGGTTCAGATGCTCACTGGATCGTCTAAAACAACAAAGCAAGCGTCGAAATCACCCTCTTTGGAGCCAGTGTCCTCTAAAGGTTACATACCACCGATCAAGACTGGACAAAAGAAGCAAGGCTTCAAGCTCTATGAAAGAAGGAACCAACTTAAGAATGGCTTCATGATCAGCCCTTTGGTGCCTGGCTTAGCTCAAAATTCTGGCTCTTCACCTCGTGTTCCGGAGATCTTATCGCCAAGTATACTCGACTTTCCTTCGCTTGTTTTAAGCCCTATTACACCACTGACTGATGATCCATTTAACAAGTCTTCACCTTCGGTGGGGACTTCACCGGAGGAAGAGAAAGCCATTGCCCAGAAGGGGTTTTATTTGCACCCTTCACCGGTAACAACACCAAGAGAATCAGAGCCCAGGCTATTGCCTCTGTTTCCGGTGACAGTTCCTGGCTCTTCTTCCTGACAAATGGTGTTACTCGGGAGGAGGTTTAATGGGTGTTGGATGTTTGGGGAGAGAGGTAGAGATCTTGCTTCAATTGTACAATTCAATCTCTCTTCCTCTGTTTTTCAAAGAAGAAGCTATTTGTTAGTTTTCTTCTTCTTCTTCTTCTTCTTCTTCTTTTTCTTCTTTTGTTTTTCTTTATTTGCTATTGTTTTCTTTCTACTTTTCAATGAGAAACCACTAACTTGAGATGAAAACTGAGGTCAATTTTCTAGTGTTGCGTTCATTTTTCATGGATACATTTTCCTGATATAACCAGAACACGATATACAAATACAAGAAACACCAATATGTTTGGATCCTCCACTCCTCACTCAATATGTACTGCTGTAAACCGTATGATAAAGTATTTCCATATCTATGCTTCTACAGACAGCAGAGAAGAAATAGCTGCTACAAAATGTATTAAGCATAGTTATTTTTAAGCTAAACAAATGCCTTGTAAGCTCTATGACTTGAATTATACGTGTATAAGTTAACAACACGCACAGTATACTTCAAACAACACTTAATAAAACACATTAATAATTAAAACTTGTAAGTATTAGAAAGAAGAATTTATACAGAGGATAAGAACTTTATCGAAAATCTCGCCTGTGAAATGAAAAAGTACTCCTTCATTTACAGCCAAGAAATGTAATTGTTAAATGTACCATTAATTTAGGAACTAAAGTAAAATAAAAAAAAAATAAAAAAAAAACTTAAATATAGAATAACAAACACACATTACATATAATTGAAATAACAATATTTTTATTAAAATATGATTAACAGTAAGAGAAGTTCTATATTTATGCATATCATTATTTTGTAATAATTGTCACACTCGATATGATTACAAATATTACAAAGGGATGCATGCATCCAATATTAGATTTCTGAAAAAGAATTAATTGTTTTAAAACCATGATTCTCCGGAAGAGGTCCATTTCCCGGGCGTATAGAAATTATCACCTCCAAACCTGAAATATGTATTAGGATTCAATTATGAATGGTAAATAATCTTAATTATATGCAGAATATTTTCACTTATATATCACACCGAAAAGTTTGGAAAAGCCATTGCAATTAATGTGAAAGAAGACAACCTTCCAAGTATAAATTCAGGGCTGTTTGGGAAATAACAACGGGATCAGCTGATCAAGAAGGTTATTCCCCTCAGCACCATCTTTTATTTATTTTATTTATTTTTCAACCAAAGCTTAGGGACACTTTTGGAACCTGAGCTGTCTGTGTTCCTAGAATACAAGCTCAGCCTTTCAGAGTGACTGTTTGACTTGCGAGAACTAGCACTAACGAAAAGGTAAAAAAATTGGAAATAGAAACCAAGAGCAGCATATTACCTGCTGACTTTGCAGCTACGCCCTCTTGAAAGACGTCTGTCACAAATAAAATTTCTGATGGTTTATCCACTCCCAGAGATTCCGAGATTTCAATATAACTTTGTTTCTCTCTCTTGTTCCTGCACACAGAAGAAGAGAGATGGTTTTACTAGAATCAAATGGTATTGGAGAGGTGCTTTAAAGCAGAGAAGTGAGTTCATGTAAATATTAAAATTACCCCACTGTTGTATCAAAAAAACCACACAAGTATTTTCTCAAATCCCCATAATTTGTGTTGCCAAACAAAAGCTTCTGTGCCAATCTGCTACCACTGGAATATATATACACCTGAGGAAGAAGTAACATATAATGAGTTTGTCCATTCTCGACAACTGAAATGAAGGCATATGTGCTACCAATCTTTGGCTTTATAGACGAACTTGCTCAAAGATTACGTTACAACAATTATTATTATTTTTTTAATCTTAAATGTAAGACTCCATTTGACTCCGTTTTAATTAAGTTGGATGGTTGTAATAATAGATCGTTTTTGGAAAAATATGCCTCTTTTACCAAACAAAATGCCTCTTTACACCAACTTCACAATATCTAAAGATATTACAATTTAGGAGATTTATTGGAGGAAAGAAGAGTATGCTTTTTAAATTGAATTACTAAAGAGAGAAAATAAGCATATATCAAGTGATAAACTATATCTTTACCACACAACCAATGAGTAAACCTTCTACAAATCAACTTTGCACCAATATATCAGTGAAGGTCTCAAATATATTGAGACGACCTCCTCAAAAAGGGAAACAGAGAAGGGCATTGAAAAAGGACAGGAAATAGTTCATTCTCTTTTCTTTCAGCAAGTGAAATAATTCATTTTCTCAACAACAGTACCAGAGAAAATACTGCAGAAGCAAAAAAGAGTTTTAAATAGCATAAATACCATCCGAACAAAAAATTTTAGCAAACATCTCAGTATTGTCACTTATCATGCAACTTATTTGCTCAATCAACATGAAAAGCAATGGGACTGAAGCACACCAAGCAATGGGAGGAGCCAGGATAAAACAAGTTGATACATCCTACAGTAAAACATAATAGAGTAACAGAAAGCTGTAAAAGTAACCTTGATTCCTGAAGCATGCCACTTCTCAATAGCTTCTGGTACATCATCAAAAACTATCCCCTTTAACTCATTATTCTGAAATCCAGTTCGCCATATATGACCCTGAATTCTTATACGTCAGCTAAATTGTAAGAATAAGGTCCAGGAGAAGCATGTGTCTTCCAGATTCCATTTTACTTACTTGTAGTTGTTTTAAGGCAGTGATCTTCCTGTCAGCTCTTATCATTGCTTCCACATTGGCAACCAAAGCTGCAATCACCTCCTCTTTCCCAGCATTATCAGAGGGGATGGGCACAGCACCAACAATTCCTTGTACCAAATCATCTCGTACCTGCAAGAAGAATATAGAAACCTTAAATTTACATGACCAAGCAATATTTATATATCTTCATACCATCATCATTTGCTCTTTGTTATTCAACTTTTTTTTGCACAATTTCCACTTTTACTTGTGATTGAAAAAATAAATAAAAATTTCCAGAAAAATGAAAATCAATTTTTATTTGTGACATGAATGCAGAACCAAGTCTAGCACAGCAGGATAGTGTTTCAGTAATAATAATCCCATAGCTTGCTTGCCAAGGTTGTTTTGAAAATAATTGGGTTAATTCATAATAGTGAGATGCAACCATATTCCTTGAAACCCTTGGAGGACACGTATAATAATGAAGAAGTTCATAAGAAATATAATGAATTTCCAGAAAGTTTCCAGTAAGGCAGTAATACAGAGACTAATGATCAAAGCATTTTATAGAATACCTGGAACGACTGTTCTCTCATTCTTGTTCATATGTTCTTCAAATATATGAAAAGAAAAAAATTAGCAAGTACTTAATTGGTTGATTAATGCACAAGAATTGTAATTGCTTTCTAGAAAGTTATTACTTTCTAGTAACACAGAAACTAACTATGGGAAGACTGATATCTCATTTTGGTTCATTGTTTCCTCACCTAGATGAAAGAAATGTTCACTAGTACTTCATTGGCTGATTAAGTCTGATTATTACATTGACTTATCTGACTTGGGTTCAACCTACAAGTTAACCATTAAAGTAACATCTGGCTAACACAATAGTCCCCCCAAAGTTTCATATTTTAGTTGTTAATTAGTCATTACATAGCTCCTATGTTTTCTGATCAGATGGAATACTGTACTTTTAGGATTGAGTGTGCTGAAAATACCTCTACAACAAAATTTTTTGGAGTAAATTGCCTTTATAAGTTTTAACTATTAGGAAGCTGAAACAAGGGCAGTTAGTAAGCCGGTAAATGGTGGAAACAAGATTTACACTGGATGGCTTAAAGGGGGACTGCGTGCCCAATTTACACAAATGGAATCTTGTTCGCATCGGGTACTCATTTTGTTACAACTGATCTATAGCTGAGTTACTACTATCAGGCCACACCAAATATCTATCCTCAGAATTATTCTAAGCTGCCCCTTTCCAAAATTTTCGTAAAGAAGTTTTCAGCCCCCAATGCGGAAAGAAGACTATATTAAAAAAAACAGTGGAATAATGGGGAGATGACTAAATAAAATATAATGATAGAACGATAGGGGGAAGGACGATATCACATTTGCCCAAGAGAAAGCAAGCATTCTACTCTTCCTATCTAAATTGAAGGTAAATAAGGATCTATTTAATCAACGATTTGAGAATGCAAATTCATAAGAAAGTCTATACCAACAGTAATGGAAAAAATTTGACCTAGAAGCAGAAACCAAGAATTAATCATGGAAATTCCCAAAAATTCAGAGCATTCTTATAAAAAATAAATAACAAAAAACTAGGGAAAATAACTAAATAAATAAGGAGATTGCACAATAAAGTAAAACAATGAAGAAAATAATAAGTTCATATCAAGTTCCATAACAAAGAAGAAACTTACTTGAACGCACAACAAATTAATGTCATCTTGGGTTTCTGCAGTATGGTATGTTGCATCTATATGTCTGCCCACATTATCACAGGCATATGGAAAGAGGACATCGGTAACAAATGATATAGGAGTTGTGGTCCCTTCAATGTCCAGAACAATGCAACGCTGCGACACACTTCAATATTTTAATAGTATAAATTGAATTTGGAATTAAAAAATTAAAATACATAATAACATTGAACCCAGGAATTTCTGGAAAGACGGAGAACGCTTCAAAAACTTACCCTTGATGACCCAATTTCATCATTTGAAATAAGATTCCCTGCCTTCACAGAAGTGTTTATATTCCTATCACCCCCTAAACCTCCTTTGAAACTAAGAATGGGACCATGATTTGGAGTAGACCAGTCTAGTCCCAGTTGATGAAGTTTGATGGCAGCATCAAAGAGATAGTGATAACATTCAGCCTGCAAAATTATATTGCAAATTGGAGCAAAATCACATCAAATAAAGTCCAATAGCTAAAGCAGGCGCTCTCATTTCCATGACAGAAGAGTACCCAACACCAAAAGCAAATAAAGCAATGTTGCTTAAGCTCTAATACTTGCTGTAGTCAATAAATCATGTTTATATCACCGTGATCAAAAGTTTCAAAACAATGACTAAGATAAAATACATAACAAGCTTGAAATACTAAAACTACAGGATTAGAAATGTCCAAATATCATGCTTCCAAAAGAAAAGATCTGGCATGAAGTACTCAAATTGAGTCAAAGAAGTCTTCCACCAAGGATGCCCTTGTCAAAAAAGTAAAATACCCTTTTTCATAAAATAAGAATATAAAAGCATGGACGCTGCATCAAAGAAGGAATTTTTAAATAACTTCAAACAATATTATTGTAGCAAATCTTGTATGTTCAGCATGCAATGGCACACCAGTTCTCAACATACAGACATGCAACTCAATACCTGTCATCTAAATCCCATAATTTTGGGAATCTTATTCTTTTCTTCTTTTTTTTCGTAGTTGATACTCAACACCCCACCCCTCTGAAGGACTGGGGATCTTATTCCTGAAGCATGAATCCTTAGAAAAGTATCAAAATCATAACAATAGCTATATAAATATTTCTTTCTTTTTTATTTCATTTTTTGTAAGCATCAAATATCCTTAACTTTTGCCTTATATCAAAGAAAGATTCAGCATACAGAAAAAGAAATTTAGTGACAATAATAATGAGAACAACAAATATGGCAACAACAGTTACACCTATCGCAGTAGCCAACTAATCTAGACAATTTCATTGCTTAGATATGAAAATAAATTGCAGACTTTCCTCCAGCCAAAATCCGGGAGCAAATTAATTGGTTCACCAATTTCCAGCACTGAATATAGGTTTTTTTGATCACCCCAAATTGTGTTTCAAGAATAATGATTTTGATAAAAACTAAACAACAGTACTTATGTAGTCAATTCAGATAGTTGGAAAAGACTTTGTTGAGTTGAGTTATCATGTTCATTCTATCAGTAATAACATTCTTTGTGCACACAATTGAATCTCAAAAGGCCGCATATAGAAACAGGATGGTGTTCCATGGTTCCTGTTCACATCTACATTTCCCTAACATTGGTTATATGGACAACTTAGTTATTACATTATTTTAAATCATCTTATACATGTATCTACATACACTGCACATTAAAAAAGTAACACATACGTAATATTGGAGATAGAAAAATGAATCCATATTTAGTTTTGGAAGGGTGGAAGAGATAAACAATTTAAAACAATAAAATTATTCAACCCCTATAGTATTACATCACAGTTCCAAGTTTAATGCTATATAAGAAAATATACAAACTTCTAATAAACATTTTATGCAACTGAGCAACAACGTTCGAATCCTCCCCTTGACAACACAAACCTGAGTTTTAGCACTAATCCAAGAATCCCCCCATATGTATATACCATGGTTCCGAACCAGCACAGCTGTAGTTTTTGGGTAAGCTTCAATCTGAGAAACAAGGAGAAAGATCAATTTATCTGAAGCAAAGCTTGCAACCAAGAAAAAAAAAAAAAAAAAAAATCTTAAGATATTAATGCAAGAAAATTTCTGGAGATCAGTCACTCTAGACCAGTCCATATTCGTGTGTGTATATATAATATATATACACACACGCACATATACATAATAACAAATTAATGAGAAGGTCGGACTGCAAGAAATTATAGTCTTCCAGACATTAAGCAATCCACACAAAATCTCGAACAGAACACTATAAATTGGAAACATGAGAGACCATCTCGACTTGTTTGTACTTTCTTCCGTATATAAAATGCTACCAGAGTGGTTTCAACAAAAGGCAAATATGAGAATTGGAAACAAATATACCAAGGCATATCTTAGAATCATAGGAGCATAGTTTCAAGGCTGAGATCATCTAGACAGTACCAATATGATTATAATTCTTTTGTACATATGAAAGGAATATGAAATTTGTGGGAACCAAAGGTTTAATGTATGTTGGCATGCAAGTGTGTGGAAACATGATTCTTATTGGCAAGCCTTTCGCATCACTAATATCACTTTCAAGAAGAGTTTAAACATTTCACAATACCACTAAAGAGGGAGATGTGAGGACAAGAATGTCAAAAAATTTACTGAAACCGCAACTAGAAATAAATAATAAAAAATAAAAGATATTTTTCCCAGATACAAATCTCACTCATAAATTGCTGTTGCAGGGATCTCAAAAGAGCATTTTTCACATCATCATGTAAAAACCCAGAGTTGAGCATGAAAAGTCATTCGTCATGAAAATTAAATGCATAATAAGAACATACAGCTTTAGCAAGAGATTCTGTGAGCTCCCGCTCATAGGCAGTGTTCTCTATTATGGGGATCACAAGCTCATCATAGTAACCATGCCCTTGAATACCTTTTATCATTTCCATATGAGTGATCTGTAAATTCAGATATAAAAGCACAATGAATGATGGAATAGACAACCAGGAGACATAAATAGAAGTCATATTCCTTATCTTTAACAACTTAATGGAGCTATCATTTGATGATCTTGGATTCCAACAATATAAATCAAATTCATTAAAGGCCCATTTCTAGAACAAAAAAAAACCTCTATTATATAAACCTTTTTTTCCATTTCCCAAGAGAGATTCAATAAATTCAACAATCTTAAAGCAAATGTTCCATAAGAAATGTTTCTAGGAGTCATAAAAGAGGAATTTCCGCTGTTTTAATTTTATATGAATTCTCTTACCATTGAGTTTCTCTGTGTACTTCCTATCTCTTCTAACTCTAAATGAACTCAAATAAAAAATTTCTATATTGAGTACCTATTTCACCCCAATCTGACATTTGCTTTCCATTTTTTCCGCTGCTTATAAATATTTTCTGAACTGTATTTCCAGCATCCTAAAATCCATTCTGTAACTCTTAATAAAATCCAATCCAACCTACGAAACAATCTAAGAAACATGAGCAAAAGCCTAGCAAAAACAAAAACCACCATTGTCCTTGGAAGAAAAAAATGTAAACATCAGAGGCTTTTATTATCTCTCGTTGTTACTGTTGCTTTAGTGCTTCCATGGATACATTACAAACATCAAGCTTTCCACACTGCAACAAGATTAGTAAGTTCTAAAAAATTCTTTATTGTATGTCTTAAAGAGAAAAGCCAACAATTTTGATCCCAATTAGTCTTGGAAAGAACTGACAAAGAAAAAGATGTACACATGTCCAATGAATGGTCTGTTAACTCTGTTTGGAATTTGTGAAAGGTTCAGGAAATGAGAGATAATGAAAGTGATAAGAGAAGACAATGTAATTTATCATCCTCAAGTATAAGAGCTGAAGTTCAAAATTTACTCGAAACTCTTTCGATGAAGGATTGATCATGGTCACAATACAAGATTCCATCCCATGACTATGTATAACAGCACCAGCATTACGCATATCATATGCCTGGAAAACAAGGATAAAGGCCACCATTATTTGACAATAAAAATAGGAAAATCTAGAAAAGAAATCAGTCAATCATAGATTTAACAACGCCAATCTTCTCCATTAAGTATCATACTAGAACCCCATGATTCGGGCAACTACAAACTGCAAGGGAAAATATATAGAGCATTGTAATGAAGTAAATGCACAGTTCAGATTGCCAGTGTTGTACATCAAGGATTATGAAGTAGAGTGCGTTCACATGCACTTGTTACAGTTACTGAAGTATACTAGAAATTGATCGAACAAGCTTATGCCAACAAATTTGAGGAATAATTAAAACAAAAAAATTAAAGTTTGCATAAAAGCACTCTAGATATCAAACAAATGAAAGAACAGTTCGTGAATATAAACTTTGCTCATTCTGGTGCTCTCACAAACTGCTTCAATTCTCCATATCCACAACCATCTTTGTCATTCACTTATTTATTTTTAGTACCAACTACACATCCACAATCATCCTGGACATGTTTAGTCAATATTTAGATGACTAACCATCAATCCTTTGCTCATGGATATGTAATAATGCAAATTTAACCTTTTGAAAGACTAGAGCATCTCATAAGAAATTCTTAGCTTAAAGTTTCAACTGATAACAATATCTAAGTTAAGTGGCATTAAAGAAAGGTTACATACCACATTTGGAAGAGGGGTTTCTTTTCGACCATTGAACAATAAAAGCACTACATCAACTACATTCTAATAGCAATCAAGTAGTCATTAGCAGCACAATATCATATATTGTGGTGTTTTGCTAGGACAATGCAGGCAAAGAAATAAGCTAAATTTTCAGACTTTCAAAACATTCATGCATGGTTGAGGCCACTATAGAACTCAAAATTCCCCACCCAAATAAGCCTAAGATGTGTCATTGACTTCGTTGAGTAAGATGCTTAATCTCCAGGAATTCAGAAACAATATAAAAAGAAGAAATGAAATATTAGCTTTCCTTGTCTTTCAACAACTCGCGAACCACACAATGGGCAATGGCAGCCAAGCAACCATTTTATCCACCATAATTGCGACATTCAGATCTTGTGATCTCCTTGAAATTCTGATTTCCATATGACCTTTCCCCATAGCAATCTAATCAGTGCTATAACCAAATTCCTAACAAACCATAAGGTGCAACCACCACAACAACATTGATGCATAAAACGCACCAAAATATGTTATTTCACCAATGTACAACAAACAAATAGCTGGACACTAATATCTGAGTTTACCATCAATATAACAAATAAACCAACAGTTTAGTCTTGATTCAAATAGCATCGAAAGAATTCACATTTTTTACACCACTATAGCAACATCAAAAGATAATTCAAATTTCATATTAAAAATTATAAGAACTGATAATTAAGCTGAACTTCGGTATAACGACTTCCTAGTAGATAAAGCAATGCGAATTTGAATTATATTCTAAATGTCTAACCTTTTAGTTTTAGACCAATTTTCCAGAGGATCAAAACTAAAACCCAAAATCTTAACTCCTTTTTTTTTTTTTTTAAAGTTCTTATATACTATAATATTAGCATTAAGAAGCCATACCTTCAAGAAGAGAGAAGCGCAGTCGGAACATTTGGGTGGCTTATAAGGGTAAGGCTTTGACAATGGCGAAGACAATATATCCCCACTTCGAGAGAGCACGTACATGTCCTCTGGAACCATTCTTTCCTTTTGCACACCTACCCACATCCACAAAGCAACCAATTGATCTTTACAAACAATACCCACAATAAATCAAGCAAGAAATATCAACAAAAAAAACTTATATATATAGAGAGAGAGAGAGAGAGGAAGGGTGGATACCAGAGGGAGACATGACGATGAGCTGGTGAGGTTTGGGGATGGAGTCATCGTGGACCTTGATGGTGATGCTGCCACCTGTCCCAGAGACCCATCCAAGGTTGTAGAATTGACGGCAGAGCTCTGATATCAAAGCCTTTGTTTCTTCAACCTTATTGCTCTCCAGGTATGCCTGTGATGTTGTCGCCATTTTCACTCCATTTTCAGCTACTGCAGCTGCCGCCATCGTCGAGCCCTCTTTGGTTTATGGTTTAGAGAGAGAAAGTGGGAGGGGAGAGAGAAGGGAAAAGGGAACTCTGCTTGCAGGGAGAGACCACGGTGGATGATTCCCTGGACTAGTAGAATTGCATAGAGAAGTGATTGTGTCTACCTGACGGTGACTGAAACACGAAGTTTATTGGACAACGTGGCATTGAAGCACTTTTTATTTATTACAGTGCTTGGTACTCAACCCGGTGTGAGTTATGTTTGATTAAATAGTTTGGTCTAACTTTTACTAGTATTAATTAATTTTATTAATTATGTGATTAACCTTGCATAAGCTCGGTCAAATCAGATTAATTAACCAAGCTAATGACCGAACAAACTCTCCTACGGCCCAATATAGCCCATCATTGTTTACTCAAGCCCAACCACCAGTTTAGCTTCCCTCTAGCTGTAAGTAAATGAGGATGGAAAATTGGAAATGAAGGATTTTTTTTTTTGGTTATAAAAAGTAGTAAAATTCTTGGAATATTTATATAGTAATTTTCTTTTCTTTTCTTTTCTTTTTTTTTAACAAGGAGGACCATGTGGAGGTTTAAAACACAATTGCCAATATGGTATCTGACATAAAAGCATAATAATATGAGACCCGATTATGTTGGGTGTTGATAATTTTTTAATTCCCCTCTACCAAATAGAAAAGGAGTGAAAACTCTTTCTTAAGGCTGAAATTCAGTCAAATTTTAAATTATTCTCTTCAATTAATGGGTTTTAGATAATTAAATTGATATCAGCACCTCCATCTATCAAAGTAGAGTTCCCAAACCAACAACACTTTTAGGTAGACAACACTAGTTCCAGAGCAATGAATCTTTAACATCATCTTCATTTTTGTTACTTAATTCTATTAAATAGGCTTTGGGATTTGAAAATTGATTATAAGGACTCTAGAAAATTTCAAGTCCTAGAACAATTTCATAGCAAAAGGATTAGGTCTAGTCCAACCCTATTTTGCATTTGACCATCTTAGCCCTTGATCGTTTGAAAGCTTGGTCCTTGGAACAGTACTTTGGACTCTAGAAAATTTCAACTCCTAGAACAATTTCATAGCAAAAGGTTTAGGTCTAGTCCAACCCTATTTTAGGCCAAGCTTTTGACCATCTTAGCCCTTGATCGTTTAAAAGCTTTGGAACAGTACTTTGGACTCTAGCAAAAGGTTTAGGTCTAGTCCAACCCTATTTTAAGCCAAGCATTTGACCATCTTAGCCCTTGATCGTATGAAAAGCTTTGGAACAGTACTTTTTCTCTTCAATAAGAGTTTTGGGAATGGAGGTACTAATGATTTGCCATTGCGAAATTATATTAGCACTATAAGAAAAAGTCTTTGACACTCCACTTCTTTTTATATATATTTTGATTAAAAAAACAAAAAAGTAAAGTGTCACATAATTTTTTAACCCCAATAATACTTTCATTTAACCTCAATTAAAATTCGTCATTTTATAACATAGAAACCTCAATGATCTCAAAAAGTTATATGTATTAGAGTTACGATAACACTTTCTAAGAGTATTTATATGAAAATTTTGTACTGGTCTCTCTCTCACATGTGTGCATCCACATACACACAGGGGGAACAAAAACACCTCGCCTCCAAACATAAGTTTTGAAATACACAGATTATACACTCAAAATCTCGCATCAAAATTTATTTACGATAAATTCACGAGAATCAGTCAAACTTCTATATTTGCTTTCTTTTTATTTTACTTGATCAAATCAAACTATCATTTTGACCATCTCATATAGTTTCTTTTATGGTATTTTAACCTAATATTTTACATTAAGATCACTTTAATATCGTTCCGTAATAATGTAATTTGTATTTTACTTTTTGTGTTCAAAAATCAATTTAAAGAAAAATTCATGACAACTGTTGTGAGATCAATCTCATGATAGCAAAAAGGACTATGCCACTTGGGTAAATTTTGGTCAAAGGCCACAAGAAGCCCTAGGTTGGTGGGCCTCATAGTTTTTATGAAACCCTATTTCTCTTGTGGCTTGGACAAAATTTGCCCAAAAAAACCACGGCGAGTTAGAACAAGGAGATCACTTGGAATCTACCAAATCTTTTTTAGCTTTTTCATTTATTTTCTTGGCAACCAAACAGAAGATTGAAATTAACATTTAATCAAAACCACAATCAACTCCAAGATTTTATATGAATCAGGAGAAAAAAAAAAAAAAAGAAATGACATTCCAAAGGCTTAGCACCAAACAGCAAACAAATTACATAGCAAATCCATCATATTATTAGTAAGTATGGAGCAACAAAATGAAGAATTATAAGAAACACAATGAATAATTATTATCAAACACACTTGCAAATAATTCAATCATTGTTGCTCACATTATTTGAGCCAGTAATTTAGTCTGTTGGAATAAAATAAATTAGTCGGTGTGCCTAGCACATTTAGAAATAAAATTGCAACCACGGTTGTAAGGGTTGACCTCGCCATGGTCCTGGCAGTTGTAGTAGGAACTGCCTCGTTTGTCACACGGGATGTTGTCTGCTAGAAGTGCCTCATAGCTAATGAACTTGGAACGGGTTTCCTCCTCAAGTGTACGTCGAGCCGATTCCGAAGCCATCATCATCTCCTCCCTAGGGTTCACAAAATCTGCGACAAGTCCACGTCCACGGGACAAATGAGCAAGGTTCATTACATTTTCTCCGAACAACTTTGACTCGGCTGCTGCTGCGGCCAAGGCCACCAGGAGGAGAACCAACCCGAGGCGATTCGCCATTTGGAAAACCTCAAGAAATGGATTGGGAAGATGGCTAATATAATAGAGAGAGTAGGAGAGAGAGAGGGAGGGAAAGTTGGTGGTCTTTGGTTCTCTTGTCTAGCTTTGTGGCTGTGTGTTATTGAAACAACGTAATTTACGTTTGTTTTAATGCAGAATGTGATGTGCCGTTTGTTTCTCTGTGGAGTATATGTAGGCATAGACACATACTAATTAATACTCGTGGTTAGGCTTTCTAATCTTTGCCCAATTCAATGCCTAACTGTCAATAACTATAAATACATGGCTCACACTATTTTGATATATATATATATATATAAACTACTTTGATATGTTCCTATTGCTTTCTCTCTCTATGGTTACATCAATATTGATATTTTCTTTTTGGGGTAAAATACATCAAGATTGTTCCATCTGTGGGTGTTTCCAAAATAGGGATGCTTATGATATGGCTAAATATGCTTAATTAAAAGTCAAAATTTTCTTTTATGTGCATTGACTTCAGCGAAAAACTTGAATAAATGATCAGAAAATTCTATGAGATGGGATAATAATTAATGATTTTTAAAAATAATTTTAGTAGAGACAACAGTGAAATTTTATAGGTATATATCTCAAAATGTAAAAAATAATAAGATAGAATACCAAAAAATAAAAAATCAGATAGGTCCGTGCATGCCGGTAGTAGATATATATCCTCACTCAAGGAAGACTCTCTCCATCTCTTTTAATTATTAGGAAGAAATAATTGATCATAGTTACTATATTATTGGTTTCCTCATAGTACACAATACCTACTTACCAAAAAACAAAAAAAAAAAAACTTCATTTATTTATAAAATAATGATAAGTAATTCAAAAGTCAAATGTTTTTAACTATTTTATGTAAGTTAACGATGAGATATAACATCATTAAATATGATGATATCATTATAACATCATCTCTTACTTATATGAATTTAATTGGATGTGTCAGACTCTCGGACTCTTAGACTCATTTTGGTGTAATGGAATTGGGAGGGAAAGAAAAGAAAGGTTGTGGGAGTGATAAAAAAATTGTGTTTGATATAAGTGGTGGGAAGGAAAAGAAAAGAAAAGAAATGAATGGTTTTGGAAGGATTGAAAAAGGCTTTAGAGATTGACCGTGCTATCCTCCCAAAAGTGGGAGGAAAGGAGAGGAGAGGCTAATCTAATCTTTTTAACACCAAATTTACAAATTTTCTTATGTGAAAGTAGAGAGTTTGGAAACATTAATTATTGGCAAATAAATATTTCACACAATAATTTTGCCAAGAGCTTTCATATTATGGAACATTTAACTTGGATCATGCTTCCTTGAAAAAATATGGTAGTTGGTGCATTTAATTTGACTCATTTGTGTTGAAATAAAGATCAGAGATATTTTCTTTTTCCTATTTATAAACATGAATTCAAAAGAACAACAAAGTTGTTAACAAATTTTTATTTATTTATAAGTTAATTAAATTACACACTTAACTTATAAATTTGTGTTTTATAATATAAAATGGTATATTAATAAATTCATTAAAGCAGTTTCCTTACCTTTCTTTCTCCAAACAAACATGATTATTATCATTTCATTTCTTTTCCTTTATTAATCAGCCAAACATGATAGGAAGTTTAAACTATCGTTTCATTTCCTTTCATTTTCTTTCCCTTTTACTGTTATCTAACATAGCCTTAGTCATTAATCTTATTTATATTAGAATATTAAGTGAAAAGCATGAGAAATGAGAATAATTTTTCACCAATTGCATATATTGCCTTCCACGTACTAGGGCTTGTAGCTTGTGCTTTCGCTTGTGCATAGCTCAATTTCGAAAACATCTAGTTAAATCACAACAATAGCTCAATTTCGAAAACATCTAGTTAAATCACAACAGTGTTTTCATAATTGCTGTTCCGAAAGCTCTATCATTTTCCATTTAGGCTGTGTCACTAAGAGAGAGTCAAGGATGTTAGAATGTAATCTAGAGATCAGAGAGATTAGACACTTGGATTGGATCCTTCATTTCACATTTTCACCTACCCCTAGCTTCTTCTTTCTGATTTTGACTGTAATGACCATAAGCTTGTGATCGGTGATTTCAGAGGTCGACTCACTAATTTGGATAAAAATAGTTTCTGGGGCGTCACAAGGGATTTGTCCAAGCCGATTGATATGTGGAGATGATTTTTCCATGTCACTTAGTCAAAAAATACAAGAGAGTCAGTTTTTACTGAATAGGTAATAGTGTATAAGAATTTATTTTATCCTGTGTTAACGTACCCCTAATCAAATTCTTGGCTCCATCCTTGATCATCAACTTCTTTTTTTATTTTTCTAGTTATATCATTAACTTTTTTTTTTCCTAGTTATATTATCAACTCTTCTAATGCACTGATCATAATATACATGATTAAAAGTAATCATTTTTCTTTCTTTCTTTCATGTTGATTAGATTTTTATTGAAATGTCTTTTCCTCTATTCTTTCCATTCTATAAAGTGGCTCATTTGACTTTCTGTGAAAAAAAAAAATTCTTAATCGAGTAATTAAAAAAAGAAATCAGATAAGAGAACTTTCATAATAGCATTATTCTTCTATAAATGCAAATGTTTAAGGACAAGCATGGCCACATATTTTGAAAATTGTCTTTAAATAAAAAAATTATTACATGGCACCATTAATCTCAGCCAATCACAAATTAACTCATTATCAATTAACGTTTTGCTTAGGGTAAAATCACATTACATTTGCAAATCATGGTCTCTCTTTCTCATGTTTTGTCGGCATTAAATGTCAAGATTTTCAAATTTATTTCCTTTGCCACTTTTTATGGGTCTCGTTCTGTACGTCTCCTCATTTGAGTTTAGTCACTTTAGCTTTACAGAAAAGGTAGGTGGCTATAATCTGATGGGTCGTGTACAGTGAAGAGTACCAAAATCAAGATTTCTGAATGCTAGGAGTATTTGAAAAAAAGAAAAAGAAAAAAAAGAATGCTAGTAGTATTAACTTTATGATTTTCATTTTCCTTATGCTTAGTGAACATATTAGGAACCAATTTGGTTTTTGCAGGGGGAGTGACAGCAATAAGGATGTCAATTTCCTTTGACCAGCGGGTTGTCGCTCTGCCCCCGCTCCTAATGGGGTGAATTTGGTGTTTCTCTAAATAAGTTTGGAATAAATATGGTAAAATAATTGAAAACCCGAAGCGGTTTTGGGATAGGGACAGATTTAGTGATGAACCCGCCCCAATTATATATGTACCTTTTAATTTTTTTTTTATATATAAAATATATATTTAATATTTTTAAGCCTCTTGTTACTTATATTGAATCAACCAATCATTATCGGAAAAATCTCGTGGATTATGTCGTTTAGAGCCAAATGATCCAGTATGTTTGAAGCAACGTATATTGAATTTTGATTTAGGCTCACACCCTATCGTTCTACCAAACACCAATTGCTGACAATCTTTGGCTTTGTGACCCCTCCGTCCAACAGCTCTCGACCTTAGGCTTACTCTTGATCTCTGTAGAAGGATTGCTGGTAGATCAAACAACACTCCACAAATGATTTGATCCCTTCAAAATGTGTGATAACTCCACTCCTTTTCTTCAATTCTAAATTTGATGAAGAATTAGTGAATTATGCTTTTCGGAATTTCTGAATCTTTAATTATGTTCAAATTTTGATGAGATATAGAACAACACTCCTAAATCACTCTTGTGTTTATATGTGTACTCTCAAAAATAAAATCAGAAGAATCAGATTGATTTTCTTAATAAAAATCTCTCTTAAACAATTCTCTCAATTAGAAAAATATATATTGTCAAGCCCTAAAAATTTAAGAGAGAACATATATTTATAGACTTTTTGTACTTGGAAAACAAGTCAATTTCATGTATAACCATTTTGGTAAAAGTCTATGCAAAGTACGAAGCCAAAACAGAAAAGGAAACAGAGTTTCCAAAAAGGTCTGAAGGAGTTGAACTGGTCTTGAACCGGTTCAAGTAAAAGCTAAAAATAAAATTCAGCTTTACACTTGAACCTATTCTAAGAAAACTTGAACCAGTTCAAGTTAGGCAGAATGTAAAACTTCCCAAAAGCCTTTTGCATAACTAATCAATGAGTGTGAAACATCACATAAGCTACTTACTGACATCCTGGCCCACAGAATTTCCAAGAGCTGAATGTTGTGTGGCAGCAGCAAAGGTCCATCCTCTCTTCATTCTTGATTTTCGATCCTTGTGGAATTTTTTTTTTAAAAAAATAAAACTATTTTTTTTTTCAAAAATTGATGATGGAAAATCCTATGAATAAGGGTGAATTGGATCTTGTTTTGAGGAGAACAAAGTTGAAATTCAGAATCTTCAAGGTAAAGTAATAATTCTCGAGAGCGAGGTAAGTTAAGCTAATTTTGCTAGAGAATCTCTTGTTGCCAAATTTAATTTTCTTGAGCTTGAATTGAAAAAGTCACTTGCTTTTACTTATGGACAGATTAAGCTTGATAAGATTATTAGTGTTGGTAAGCATGTAGATGATAAAATAGGATTAGGCTTTAATGAGGCTTTGTCTAGTAAAAAGGGTCAAACTGTTTTTGATAAACCCATTGAACTTGAATGTGCCTATTTTTAAGCCTAAGCTTTCTGTTGAGCCTATGCATGCTAAGAATGGGTCAAATTGCTTTATTGTTCTTATTGTGGTAGAACTGGATATAGTCAACATTATTGTTATAAAAAGAAGAGGGATAATTCTTTTTCTGATTTTCATGGTTATAATTCATTTTGCATAAAATATGTTTCAAACTATAAAGCAAAATAATTGGAATAAACCTATAAATTTTCGTGCTAAAAGGAATTCACATAAGAAAAAGAATATTGTTGATGTTCCTCAAATATCTCTTCAAAAGTTGAATGTTAAATATGTTTGGGTGAAGAAAGAGGATTTGAGGTTGTATGTGCCTATTGATGCTATGAAATTTGTTTCCAACAAAT